GAATTGCAACGAACGGGAAAGCAATGGAATTTCTCTGCTTACCATAACTTTAAAAGTGAAAATGATCCCGTGTTGCGGAGAGTTATGAGCAGTCACGTGATAGCTCCCAACACGTGGAAGACTCGATGACATGTGCGCGAGTTGGTGGAAGTGAGTGGAGGCCAATGTTCTACAGCCAATGACGTCATGTAAGTATTCAATTACAGCCCAAGCTATCGATAGCCCGTCGAGCATTGACGTGCCGCGACCTTGTGGATGAAAGAACGAGTRAATGAGCCTGATCAGATTGCTTGTGCAGACATAACTGCTTCGAAAAGGTTGGTGAAGGTTTTGTTGCATGTTGATGTTGCACGTTGGATGTTGCACGTTGCATACACCTTTCTCATAAATGGCCGCCAAACGCGGTTGGGACTAGGGACAATTGCATGGACCCTTACTTCAAGAGACGCTAAAAAGAATGACTTTAACACAAAGGACACAATGATTTACTAATGAGGCCTTTCTGACCTCGCTTCCATTCAAGCCCRGAATGCACCATGGGCGATGCGAATGCAATCAGCGAAAGGTCACAACAATATGTCTGCGCATTTTTTTTGGCATATTTTCTTCTGAGCTAACACTACATATACATCTACATATGATCCACAATACATTGCTATGCAACATGCGAAATGCAATAAAACCATCACCGACCTGTTCCGAAAGAGCTGTATCTTGTTGGTTTGTGTGTAATGTTTTCCCATTTCTGACCAAGTGTCATTCCCTTGAGAATAAGATTCTTTGTTTGAGTTGTATCCATATTCATGTGTCTTCCCATGTGCAACCGAGCGCGAACCTTAAACAAAGAAATGATACTCTAGGGAATGACATGTGGTCTGAAATGGGAAAACATTACGTCAGAGCCGAGGAGATCTATTAGTTTTATTCTTTTTACCTATTTCATCAACGACTACCAACGAATTTTGTGTAGCGTGASATAAAATGTACGCAGTCTCCAACATTTCTGCCATGAAAGTGGATTGATGTTGAACGAGGTTGTCACTGGCACCGATGCGCGCGAATACCCTATCGACGATTCCTTCAAAAATTCAAACAAAAAACACATTTAAAAAATACTAAACTGAAGATAAAATTGAGATAATTTTCCTTAAAAAACTTTTCAATCCAGATCGCACACAAACGAAAAAAAAGTAGTTAGACAAAACTTTTTTGAAGATTATCCTTGCTTTTACGATATAGGTTAAGGACTATCTCATGGTTCCTTGTCCAAGGGTTTGACCACATTTTGTTGGCTCAGGACATCGCGGCACTATTAATATCTTTATTGTGTGCAATCTCAGCAATGTATGACTTGATCTTACCTTAGTAACGCTAACGGCAACGTTGCGCGTATACTCTTAGAAATACCTTTGTACAATCAGTAATTACACGGAGTCCACTTACCAAGACTGGCATGGTGTGCCGGGACAAACGAACCAGCTTGTGCAAGGATAGAGATTAGGGCGTTCTGACGTAGAAATGTGCTTTTACCTAAAACATAAAATTAAAACTTCTTATAAAAATACATGATACTTGAAATGTTTGTCTCTGACTTAATTTTTTAATTTTATTTTTATTATTTTTTGAATCATTTTTTACACGCGTTTCGATCCGCGACCACGGATCTTCTTCAGCGTGCCCTTGGTATTTGGGCACGCGTATTTAAATGTTGGTATAAGCGCGCGCGCTAGAGTCCCGTACGTATATAAAATACATATTAACCACAAATAAAAAAATATGAAWAATACATTAACCAAAGCTTTGTTAGGCACAGAGTTTTAAAGGGTGGCGGCCATACTGAGGAGTGGAAACAATGCAAGTTTTTTTTTTGCGTGAAAAGATATGTCATCTCTCAAAGAAGCCCTTCAATCATAGGCTCAGAGTCCAGCCTTTTCGTGCTGCCGCGTTGCTCTATCCYGCATGGCTGGCGCACGAAACCACGGCTGCCTGAAATCTGAGCCTACCTTCATCATGGCTGTCAAGAAACCAAACCTTCAAGTAATTGTTAACCTCTCGTACTTACCCCCCATGTTGGGGCCCGTTACGATCCACACTTTCTTTTCATTCAAGTTACAGTCATTAGACACGAAGCTTTCAGGCTGAAGAATGTCCACTACAGGATGTCGGCCTCCTGCAACTCGAAACTCTGTGCCTTCGACCATCACTGGCTTGGTGTACCCACGATTCAGTGCCAGGAGAGCCAAAGAAGAAGCAACGTCTAGCGCAGCGAATGATTTAGCTACGCGTTTGATGTGGTCTGCTCGAAAAGTCACCTTAGAAGTGGAGAGTTACAGTTTGGTATGTATTGAGGCGAAGTCACACGGTGCAACATTACAACATTCCAGGCAATGTTGCTGTATTAGGATTGTCTTTTAATTCAGCAAAATAGCGTGCAACAAATTGCGTCGTGTGAGACGACTCGCAACATCGCAACATGTGGCCTTTGTCTTTCCCTTCGCAGAATTACTGCACAGCAGATATTAGAGTCATACTCTATTCCCTTCAAACAATTGTTGCGTTTGGATCAGGTTCTATACATTTACTGTATTGACCCAAATGCCTCGACTTAAACAATTGCTTTAAGGCAATACAGTGGAACACTAATATGTGCAATTGCGCAATATTTCTCAATGCGTCTTTGCGTTTGTCAYGCTGAATACGATATAATAGACCTCTTTACCTTGGGCCCAATGTTTTCCCATTTCAAACCACGTGTCATT